ACTGCAATTTCTGGTACTTCCTGTTTTGCTTCATATCCAGACCCGGATTATGGGGGCTTGGTTAAGACACAGAACATAAAATGTAGAGCATAAAGCAAAGGGCTAAAACAAAATAAAGTGACCTAACATGGAATTCAACAGCAATTAAAACAATATAAAGCAAGCCAACTTCAAACATATTCTGGAAACGCTAATTAAAAATAAAGTTTTCAGTCGACTCTTAAAAACCGGCAAAGAGATAGACAGCCTGACTGCAGGTACAGCTGGTCCCACGGTGACGGGTCGGAGCCTGCTGATGGACACATGCTGCAGGAAATCACAGATTACAACAAGTTCTGCATCCAAACTGATGCAGGAGCTTTTCATTTTTCACACATCCACATAAGGAACCTTGTCCTTTCAATGTGGAGGAAAAGTTGCCTCTGCTACTCTCCGCTGGTCTGAACGAAGCAAACGAAACAAGTTCGAATGAATAAACTTTAATTCTTAGTCATCCTAAATAAAAGTTCATGAAAACCAACCTAAACTAGACCGACCTCAGACCTGTGCATAAAAACACCAAATGACCGAACAGGAAGAGAACATGAACAAAAACAGGACACATGGTTCTTCAGAAAGAAAGTTCTCCAGATGAACGTTGGTGGTTTAAACGGGATCAGCTCCAACGGTTTGAATGTGATGTAGTCGAATCAACGTGGATCAAATCCTCAAACCAACATTTCCAACATGCAGCAGTTTGGGGTAATAACTACATGAGTGCAATCCAACCACTAATAATTTTACAAAAGAAAGCAATACGAATCATTCATAAGGTAGGATGTAGGGATCACTCTAATTATTATTTGTACAGTCACTCTTAAAATTCGAGACATTGTAGAATTGCAGACAGCACAAATATTATTTCTAGCAAGAAACAAACTATTACCAGAAAACATCCAAAAATGATTCATTGAGGAAGGGGGCTATAAATTACGGGAACAATTTCATTTCAGAATTCCTTTTGCACGAACAACAAGTAAAACCTTTTGTATTTCAGTATGTGGAGCAAGTATGGAATACGGTGGAGGTGTCATGACCAGAACTGGGAAGACCCGTGATGACACCAAACCCAGTAAAAGTTTATTCAAAAGTCTTTATTGGTGTAGCGTTACCAGAGGAGGGCGAGGCAGGAGACAGAGTCGGAGAGGAGACGTGGGTCAAAACCAGATTGGGATGAGCAGGTACAGGGAGCAGGCTGGAGATGTGGTAGAAGATAGGCGAGGGTCGTGGTGGCAGGCAGAGTTCAAGGCAGGGGTCAGGCGAAAAAACGAGGTCCAGAGGCTGTGAAGGCAAGGTGAAAGGCTGGAAGATCTACTGGCAAAGAGCGTTCAATAATCTGGCAGGGGACTGGTGGCTGGCCGGTGAATACAGTATATAGCAGGGGGAGCAGGTGTGTGTAATGAGCTGATGACAGGGACAGGAGAGATGAATGAAGTGGCTGAGGGCTTGATGAGGAGGCAGCAGAGGCAGAGGAGGGTGAAAGACTGGGAGTCATGGCAGGAGGGGACACTAAGGAAAAGTGTTTCTATGATTCTGTTTAAGGCCCTGTCCACACGTAGCCGGGGATCTGCCAAAACGTAGATATTTTTCTACGTTTTGGCCTGTCATCCACACGAAAACGGATCTTTTTAAAAACTCCGGCCAAAGTGAAGATCTGCGTTTTCTCCGTTTTGGGTGTCTGCGTGTGGACAGACAAAACCGGAGTTTTAAGGTCCGCAACGTCACTTTCCGCGACAAAAAAATGCTGACATCACGTGTGCTACCTGTGTTTACACTAGCCGGCAGCATGGATGCCCTCAGAGCTGCGCTCGCTTTATCAATCGTCCAAGCACTTTCTGCTTGTTTGTTTTTGCAAGCGGAATTACTGCTCCTTGCGGAAGACCACAGACGAAGGACGAGGTTAAGAACGGGGGAAGTACTGCCGCCTACAGGTCTGGCATGTCCTTAACAACGTATTTATCCGGGTACGTGTGGACAGTTTCTTTTTAAACGAGGTGGTGTGGATGCAAGTTTTTAGAGGGGCGGATATTCATTTAAAAAAACGTCTACGTGTGGACTAGGCCTGAAAATAAATACAAAAACAATATTTATACCAGGTACAGAACTGAGGAGGGTATTTCAGTTTGACAGTCTGTGTTTAAATTATTTACTATTATTAGCCTTATTATGCTTTTGGTTGAAATGAGTTTCCTCCGTAGGGTGGCCGGGCTCAGCCTTAGAGATAGGGTGAGGAGCTCGGACATTCGGGAGGGACTCGGAGTAGAACCGCTGCTCCTCCGGATCGAAAGGAGCCAGTTGAGGTGGTTTGGGCATCTGGTCAGGATGCCTCCTGGACGCCTCCCCGGGGAGGTGTTTCGGGCATGTCCTGCCGGCAGAAGGCCCCCGGGTCGACCCAGGACACGTTGGAGAGGTTACATCTCCAATCTGGTCCGGGAACGCCTTGGGGTCCTGCCGGAGGAGCTGGTGGACAAGGCCGGGGAGAGGACGGCCTGGAGCTCCCTAGTTGGGATGCTGCCCCCGCGACCCGGACCCGGATAAGCGGAGGAAGACGAGACGACGAGAGACGAGAGACGAGACTATTATTATAGTAACAAGGACATTATTATATTATGATATAATAAAAAGGACAGGCATAAATATAAGCATTTAGCTTCTGCCTGAGCCTTTTCAGTCACTTTAAATGTAATGTTTTATGTTTGATGATTATATTATGTTTTGTTATATTTCTGACTGACTAAATCAGAATAGAAAGTAAAAGCAGACCTGCGCTATAGGATGGAGCTCTAATAAAAACACAAAACTCTTTAATCAAGATGTGACTCAACAGCAGCTGGGTGAATGAAAATGAACGAGTCCCTGTAGAATAACACTATTACTGCTGAAGAGTACATACAATTCGTTTTTAAAAACTTTGCAGACAAATGAAATCAGCAGCTGAAAACATTTGTAGGGTTTGAACCTCCGTGTCCCGTTTGCACACGTTTTAAAACACATGCGCGTTTACAGAAAACTCCTACAGAGACGAGCTGTCGTCCAAACACACAGAGGTCAGAGGGACGAGTGCTCAAAAAGGATGACGGTGGACTTGCTGGAGAGGCTGGACAGCCTGAAAGCACCAATTCGAGAGTAAACATCTGCATCTGAGCAAGCCCCCCAGGACAGGTGAGGGCTGGGAGGGGTGGTGTGGATCACAGGTAGAGGGAGGGGCAAGGACAGGACCAGAGGTGTCGGAGGAGCAGAAAGGGGACGGTGGACGGGTGGAGTAAGTGAGACAGGAGTCTGGGGTAGTGGGAGGGTGGGTGGAGGGGATACAGGTGGGGCGATGATGGTGGGAACCGCATCACTTTTAGTGTGGAAGGGAGGAGTCGCTTCAGGGACCGCCTCGTTCTTGGGGGGCGGGACCTGATGAGCTGTGGGCTGTTTGAGTCTGTAGGTCGCTCTGTGGCAGAAGCTGCTGTACTCCACCGCATACCGGGCCCTGGCTAGCTTCAGCCTGTAGCGCACACACACACACACACACACACACACACACACACACACACGCACGCACGCACGCACGCACGCACGCACGCACGCACACACACACACACACACACACACACACACAGAATAATGAGTACCTGTTTAAGAAAAAAAGTTTGAATTTTGTTTTTGTCAACATCCAAGTGCTCTGTCCGTGTTTTTTTAATTGGTAAGTGCTGGTTGTTTGTCTACTAGCACCCAGTAGCATTAGCACCCAACAGCACGTAGCACCCAGCAGCAGTAGCACCCAGCAGCACTAGCACCCAGTAGCATTAGCACCCAACAGTACTAGCACCCAGTAGCATTAGCACCCAACAGCACTAGCACCCAGCAGTACTAGCACCCAGTAGCATCACCACCCAACAGTACTAGCACCCAGTAGCATTAGCACCCAACAGCACTAGCACCCAGTAGCATCACCACCCAACAGTACTAGCACCCAGTAGCATTAGCACCCAACAGCACTAGCACCCAGCAGTACTAGCACCCAGTAGCATTAGCACCCAACAGCACTAGCACCCAGTAGCATCACCACCCAACAGCACTAGCACCCAGTAGCATTAGCATTCAGCAGCACTAGCACCCAGTAGCATTAGCACCCAACAGCACTAGCACCCAGTAGCATTAGCACCCAGTAGTATTAGCACCCACCAACACTAGCACCCAGTAGCATTAGCACCCAACAGCACTAGCACCCAACAGCATTAGCACCCACTAGTATTAGCACCCAACAGCACTAGCACCCAGCAGCATTAGCACCCAACAGCACTAGAACCCAGCAGCACTAGCACCCAGTAGCATTAGCACCCAACAGCACTAGCACCCAACAGCATTAGCACCCACTAGTATTAGCACCCAACAGCACTAGCACCCAGCAGCATTAGCACCCAACAGCACTAGAACCCAGCAGTACTAGCACCCAGTAGCATTAGCACCCAACAGCACTAGCACCCAGTAGTATTAGCACCCACCAGCACTAGCACCCAGCAGCACTAACACCCAGTAGCATTAGCACCCAACAGCACTAGCACCCAGCAGCATTAGCACCCAACAGCACTAGAACCCAGTAGCACTAGCACCATGAGCTGTAGAATCACTATTGGCCATGCACACTTCTGCCTCAGCTTTGACTCTGCTCAGACTTGTGTGTCTTTTTGACATGTTCATCAATCACTGAGGCTTGGTGAAGGCTTCTAGTGGACCAAAGGAATCCAAATCTGACTTGTTCAATGTAAACATCATGCAAAAATAAATAAAAAATGGTAAATGGTCTGTATTTGATATAGCACCTTCTAGAGTCCTGGAACTCCCCAAGGCGCTTTACAACACAATCAGTCATTCACCCATTCACACACACATTCACACACTGGTGGGGATGAGCTACGATGTAGCCACAGCTGCCCTGGGGCGCACTGACAGAGGCGAGGCTGCCGAGCACT